ATTGGGGGCGGAAGGAAGAGTGTGATTGAGATGCAGCCTGTGGAGTGGCCAGCAAGTGAGGAAGCCCCCAGAGCTAAGTGGCCTCCCACCCCACCCCCACCCCAAAGGTGTCAGCCAGAGGGGTCTTGCCCCTGTAGCCCTCATCCATCCAGGAGCTTGGCTGCTGGCAGAGTCCTGAAAATCTCATTTAAAATTAACCTTTGCGCCCAGCCAGGTGTGGCTCAGCGGTTGAGCGTTGACCTAGGATCCAGGAGATCACGGTTCGATTCCCAGTCAGGGCACATGCAGGAGGCAGCTGATCAGTGACTCTCATCATTGATGTTTCTCTCTCTTTCCCTCTTCCCTCCTCTCTCTGAAATCAATAAAAATATATTTTTTAAAAAAGTTAACCTTCGCAATGCACTCACTAGGTATTCTTTATTAAAAGCACTTGTTTTATTTTAGGGTTGGCACAGCATATCCTTTTTATACATGTGTGAACGTATGTATGTAAATACACGTATGAGGTTGGTGAGTTAACGTTTGTGGTGTATTTACTAAGTGAAGCTGTGGAAACCAATAGTGGCCCCCTTACGGGTGTTTCCCATTCTCTCACGTGTGCTGCGTGCGTGCTGGGGAGCTCTGAGCAGGTGGGGAGCAACATGCCCTCCTGTCTAGGAGTGCACGGTCTCGGTGGCATTCATGACAGGCACCCATCAAGGCGGGTCAGTGGGCACTGTGATGACAGGGCCACAGGACCCAAGGGGTGGAAGGACTCAGCAGACCCCACCATGCTGGCGGTCTCTCTAGCCTGGTTGATGCCCAGTGATGTTCACTGAATGAATTAATGAGAAATCTGGAAATCTGAGGGCACAAATCCCTGGGCGACCAGCACCCTGTCCTGGCCCAACCCGCTGTGGGGACCGGGCTGCCCAGCCCTCTCTGCCTCCTGCGCCTTCACTGTCCTCCCTGTCTCTCCCCACCCAGGACCTCCCACTCCCGGGCCAAGGCTGAGGCAGCTCTCACTGCGGCTCAGAAAGCCCAGGAGGAAGCACGGATTGCCAGGATCACTGCCAAAGAGTTCTCACCTTCCTTCCAGCACAGGGAAAACGGTGAGTTGGGTGCAATGTGGGGCGGGGCAGCTGGGTGTCCTCCAAGGCCACATTCCAGCAGGTTCTGCCCGCTGCCATCTCCCCTTGTGTTCACTCTCCTTCATGATGATGCGTGTCCCTGCAAGGGGCCTTGGCACATGCCTCCCTCAGACACACGTTGTCGGAGCGTGTGTGGTTTCAGCATCTCTCCCTGCTTCCAGGGCTGTGTCCCTGCGTGCACGCGTTTCCATGCATCACTCTCCTGCTTTCTGTGATGGTGAACGTCTGTGCTCTGCTTGTGCATGTGGCCTCTCTCCCTGCCCTTCTCCCAGTGTTATTCTGCAGCTTCGTGATGAACCAATTATTCTGTAACTGCTCTGTCCAGCAAGGTGGCTACTGGCTATGTGGGAACTGCAGCTAGTGTGGCTGAGGACCTGGGTCATTAGTTTCACTTGATCATAATGATCTATATTTAAATGTAGACAGCCATGCCTGCCTACAAGCAGCCACGCTAGACAGAGCGGCTCGGGAACAGTGAGGGGAGCTTTGCCCATGTCCTTCAGTGGGAGCTGGGAGGAGCTAGAAGCCACTGCAGGTTAGCCAGATCTGTGACCCTTGTCCTCTTGGGAACAGACCTGAGGGAGGCAGAGAGGGCTGGAGAAGGGGGGTGTTTTTTAAAAAAATATATCTTTATTGATTTCAGAGAGAGGAAGGGAGAGGGAGAGAGAGGTAGAAACATCAGTGATGAGTCATTGACTGGCTGCCTCCTGCACGCCCCGCACTGGGGATTGAGCCCATAACCTGGGCATGTGCCCTGACCGGGAATCCAGCTGCGATCTCCTGGATCCCAGGCTGATGCTCAACCACTGAGCTATGCCTGGCTGGGCAGGGGTATTTTTTTTTTAAAGGGAGAGAGAGAAACATCAATGATGAGTCATTAATCGGCTGCCTCCGGCACGCCCCCCACTGGGGATCATCCCAGGCATGTGCCGACTGGGAATCAAACCTCAATCTCCTGTATCATAGGTCAATGCTCAACACCTGAGCCACGCGGGGTGGCCGAGAAGGGGGCTATTGATGAGAGGCCTGCTGAGGCTGAGGTCCTTGCAGGCCAGCCAGCCACCCTGTCTCCACCCTATTTCCCTCTGGCCTCACTTAGAAGCTTCCTTCAGCAGGAAGCCCTGGAGAACGGGTTAGACTGCTTCCCTCAGGCCATGCTCCCAGTGGGGGGAGAAGCCCTGGAGGTTTTAGGCTGGAATCTGCTATGTGCCGTCTGTATCCTGAGGCCACGCCCTGAGCTCTCCTCCTGGAGCCCTGGGGCTCCTGGCCTCACTGGGAGGGTCCTGGCCTTTGGGGCAGCTGAGGGAAGCCAGGCTGGCTTCTGGGAGGCAGGAGGACCCAAGATAGGGGACAGAGGTGTTGGAATTCAGCCACACTTGTTCTTTGCATTTTCACAAGGATGCTTCCAGGAATGTCATGTGCTCAGGAACTAATTTTAGCTGAGAACAGTCTCCAGGTTGGTGGCGCTGACAGGGTGCTGGAGCGGAGCATGGGGGCACCCTTCTCTGGGGGGTGGGGGGTTCCATGGGCTGTCCAGAGTTGCCCCCAGGGCTGTTAGTGGATAGACAGTCTCCCTGGAAGGCCACAAGATCCTGCAGGGTTGGACGTCCAGACTCATCTGGGGTCCTAGGGTGTAAAGCGCAGGGGCATGGCCTCTAAAAAGTCCAGATCACAGGCAGGTCAGGAGAGTGATCATGGGAGTCCTGTAATGGGGCCAGAGTCTCCCACAGAGCTGTAGGGCCCCCACAGGGAGGACAGTTCTCCATGTGGTTCCTCAGACACCCTCTGGCCTGGGAGGCGTGGGGGGGGGGGCAGCCCAGCTCGTGTCCCCATCCCATGGCCTCAGAGGTATGGTAGTTGAATGAGACCTGGACTCACCTGCGCTGCACCCCCATGTGACAAATCGGTGCAGAAGCAGGGGGACTGACCATTTGCCCTGAGCCCCATGCATCTGCCTCCCCAGCACTCAAGGGCCTCAGATTTCCCCCTCCAGAACCGCGCAGGGCTCCCCTTGGAGGCCTCTGCCCTTTGGAATAGCCCTGGTGACTGTTCATGGTTGTTTACAGCTCTGTCTTGTTCTGGTCCCTGCTGTATGTCAAACCCTGAAGTGAGAGTAGGAGCCTCAGGCCATGTGTGCCACCAACAGCATGGTGATGTGTCTTCATAAACGGGGCGCCTGGCCACACTGAGGGTGCCATGTCCCCTAAGGCTTTCTCCTGCCCTGGTTCAGAGGATCCAGTATGGAAGCAGGGAGGGGAGCCCAGCCCCAGGCAGGGGGTGGGGCAAGAAGACCACCCCTGCTCTCTCGGGACAGGCCAGGCCACCAGAAGGCCCAGTGCCCCTAAGATGGAGGTGTCCTAGGTAGACAGGGCTCCCTCCCCAGGCTGTGAGACCCCATAGAAGGTCACTTAGGATCCTCAGGAGGGCTCCATGGGGGGTGGGCCCTGAGACACCCCCCCAGAGTAGGCTGGGCCCAAGGCCTTGCGCATGGAGACCAAGGTGCACTGGTCTGCCCTGCAGCCGGAGACCAGGACCAGAGCTGCTGTACACCACTGCCTGTCGTGATCCTCAAAGCACCTCTGGGGTTGGTGCCTTGGGGGTCCGTGGAAGGACTTTGGGAACCACTGTGTCCCAGTCTGTTCTGCCATCCTCAGGTGAGACCTGGCCTCCGCACAGAACACCTGAGTAACCCAATCTCTGTGTGCCGCTCACTCCTCCATACAGGGCTCGAGTACCAGCGGCCAAAGCGTCAGGCTTCCAGTGACGACATGGAGGTGATCTCCATCGGGACGCCCATGCAACAGGAGAGCCCGGAGCTGTACCGAAAGGGCACCACCCCCTCGGACCTGACGCCGGATGACAGCCCCCTGCAGAGCTTCCCTGCCAGCCCCTCGGCCACCCCACCACCAGCCCCTGCCTCCAGGAACAAGGTCGCCCACTTCTCGCGACAGGTGTCGGTAGACGAGGAGCGTGGCGGGGACATCCAGATGCTCCTGGAGGGCAGAGGAGGGGACTATAGCCGCCACTGCTGGGGCGAGGAGAAGGCAGGGGGGTCCAGGGGGGTACGTAGCGGCACCCTCCGCAGTGGCCAGCCCGCGGAGGACTTCCGCACCCGGGGCTCGGGCCACAAGCAGCCCGGCAACCCCAAGCCCCGGGAGCGGCGGACGGAGTCGCCCCCTGCGTTCTCCTGGACTTCCCACCCTCGGGCCAGCAACCCCAGCTCGGGGGGCGCCAAGCTGCTGGAGCTGGATGAGGAAAAGCTGAGCAACTATGAGATGGAAATGAAGCCCCTGCTGAGGGTGGACTCCCACGTGCAGGAGGCACACCCCCAGAAGAGACGCTACAGCAGGGGGGCTCCCTGCCGGGGCCTGGGCGAGGACCGGGGCTTTGGGGCTCAGAGACTGAGATCCAAGTCCCAGAACAAAGAGAATGTCCGGCCGGCTGCGAGCGCGGAGCCCGCGGTGCAGAGACTGGAGAGCCTGCGGCTGGGTGACCGGGCTGAGCCCCGGCTGCTGCGCTGGGACCTGACCTTCTCCCCACCCCAGAAGTCCTCGCCTGTGGCACGGGAATCAGACGAGGAGAACCCAGATGAGCTCAAGTCCAGCACGGTAAGTGGACGCCCGGCAGCCCTGGGGAGCAGGAGACTGAGTCCTGAGACTTCCATGGAGTCCTCCTCTAGTCAGGGGTGGGGTGTGTGTCAGGAGTGGCTTTTAGGGTGATGGCGTTTGCTTCCACAGGACCGGGACCCACCCCCACAGAAGCCATGCAGGGCTGGGGTGGCATTTCCTTCAGACAGGTCCTCAAGTGTTATTCCCAGGCTTGATTGATCCTTATAGTGAAAGCACTTGGACGGTTTTGGAAGCTCCCAAAAAGAAAATGGGCAGCATGGGACCCCAGCCTTGCCCAGATCTTCCCCCAATGTGCTCAAACTTCCCAGCTGTGCAGGGGGTCCTCCCCTGTGCTAGAGAGTCCCTCCTGGTAAGAAGCCCTCACCATCAGTGTCCCTAAGAAGTATCCCAGTCCTGGAGGGGGACAGGGCCAGACACAGCAAATGGGCGTTGGCCTGGGTCAGGTCTTCTTTGTCCAGGCCACACCGATTACTTATGGACCAGGCACTGTGTTCCCATCTGCCAGAACACACGTGTGTCCTGCTCCAACAAAGCCTACTTTCTAATGGGCGAGATGGACAGTTCTGTGAGCCTGTCCACCCCACGACCCCCTTCCTGCCAAAGCCGTGGTTCTCTGTATGTGCCAGTGCTCTGGAAGTTTGTTAGAATGAGGCCTCTGATCCACCCCAGGCCTGTGGGATCAGTGGGTCTGGATGGGGCTCTAATCCAGGTTGATCAGGCCCTGTGGGGGACATGAGATGCTCAGGAGTGAGGATCGTGTCTTAGGTGTGAGACTCACAAGTACTACTCCCAAGGTGGGTGGGTTGGAGGAAAGAACAGAGACCCCTGGGCAGGACTCCATGTCAGGGGCTGGGGAGAGCTCTTGTACCCAAAAGGTACCACCCAAAAGGTTCCACCTATAAGCGGACATACTGGTCCCTTGGCCAAGTGGCAGCAGGAAGGGCCAATGGGACAACTGCAGACCCACCCCCCAGGGTGATGCCCCTGTGTGGTCCCACACGATCCCACCGAGGACTCAGTGTCAGCCTGCAGGGCCTCCCTCACTTGCTGGTGGGCGCCATGTGCCGCAGTAATACTTGTCTAAGAGGAACACTGGGGGCCTGTCTCATGGGCGTAGAGCCCAACACCTGCACTCCACACATCCAGACTGGGCCCCTGGGGCTTAGTGCTGCTGCAGGGCAGGGGTAGTGTCTGTCCGCCCCCCAAGAGGAGTCCCACAGTGTCAGGATGTAGTGTCCCTTGGAAGAGAAGCTTCCTATCAAAAGACGGGCTGCTGGCTGGCCCTTGAGGGCATTTCTGCTTCCCCTTGAAACCACTGTAAGTGTGTCCTTCTTGCTGGTGGGCTGGTTCCTAAAATGCTTCTGCCCTCCCCATGCCCAAATCCCTCTAGACCCTCCTGGAAAACAGCCCTGGGACCTAAAGACCAGTTGTCACAACTCGGTTTCCCTCATTCTGGCAGCTGGAAGTGTGTGTGCATGCACACCTGCACGTATGTGCATGTGATGTGTACCACCCATGTACAGCTGTGCATGTATGGTTATTTTAGGAACAGCCAAATGATGGGCAGGGGTGGGAGATGTAGGAAGGGCTCCATATTTATCCCACTTAACCATGCTGGCACATCTGGGTGCTTTAAGATGGAACTCCCTTGGGGAGAGGTGCAAGGCTTCCAGCTGGGCTCTTGTCCTTACTACGCCAGACCGATACCTGGTCCTGAGGGGCAGAGGGGGAGGCTTCCAGCACAGGCCTCAGGTGCGGCCCCTGCACCCTCGCGGAGGCTTCGAGGATGGCAAACTCAGAGGAGAGCCTGTAGTCTGAGTGCCCAGGCGGGCTGGGGTCTCTGCTCCAAGGACGTCAGGTACTTCACACCCCAGGAAAGGCTTGAAGGGAAACAGTGCTCCTTCCTGCTCTCGAGGGAGGCCAGGGCTGCAAAGGATGGCAGTTAGCACAGAACTTGAGTAGCTTACGGGAAGGTGGTTCTTACTGAGGAAGATGTGTTCAGGGGCCTAGTAGAGGGTTCTCCGGCTGAATTTAGGGGCCACTCTTGGTGGGCTGTGTCTGAAATTCAGTGACAATGTCTTAAGTCCCGATTGTACAGAGCTGGAGGCAAAAATAATGTGGGTGTGGGGATGTTTACTTAAGGAGAGACCTGGGGCACAGGAGGGAGGGCAGACGAGTTTCCAGAGCCTCAGGGGTTCCAAGGGCAGTGACTGCAGACAGAATGGAGCAGGCCGCCCCGTCCTCAGCTCTGACCGCTGAAGGGCATCCTGCTCTAAAGAACTTTGTCTTCCCACTGTTTCCCTGGTGGTCCATTACCCTCCCACGCTGAGGGACCTCCCAGTTTGGCCCCGGGCTGGGCGGTGGGGGTGGGGTATGCCCAAAGAGAGCGAGCGCTCCAGACCTGGCCTCGGGCTCACCTCTTCTCTCTCCCTTCTCTTCCAGGGCTCCGCGCCCATCCTGGTAGCCATGGTGATCTTGCTAAACATCGGAGTCGCCATTTTGTTTATTAACTTTTTCATCTGATGAGACTGTCACATTAGCAAAAATACCAGTTGGTGTATAAAAGGGGAACGTTAAAAGCAAAACAACAGAAAGGAAAGGATCATAACTCGGACAGCTCACAGCTACTTCCGAGTTTCTTCACAGGACAACACGATTGGGTATTACTCACAGTTTGCCTTTTTTTCTGGGTAATGTTTTTTGGATTTTAGCCAAAATTCTTTGCTTGTATAACACTATGCTGTGTGGCATGGCAGAAGGAGGCCAGCACGCCGACCCTCCAGCTTGAAGTGGAGAGAAAAGGGATCCCGGCAAATCAGCGGCAAAAAAAAAAAAATCATCACTGTCGTCATTGTCATCACACTCCCACCTGGGATGGAAAAGGAGGCAGCCGAGGAAGACCCCTCTGAATGTCCTGCAGTGCCCGGCGGGGGGGAAGCAGCTGCTGTGAGGTGTGACGTGGGAAGCCAGTTAACTCTGCTTCTCCTCTCTGTTCTGGAATAGCGGTGACAAGTACGGGCGCGAGGCATGGGGAAGACAGTGTCCCATCCTGGCTGGCAGCAGCCTGGGCCTTTTTCTATTTTAAATCTGCTGCATAGTTAAGGAAGCAGAGGTCTGTCTTCTCTTCTCTTCCCCATGAAACAGGTCATAGCCCTGCCCTTGTCTCGGCACTGCCCCACGGCTTTCCTCGCAAGGCCAGATGCCCACACCAAGTCTTACAGCGAGTCCTCATTTCCCTCGCTGTCCTCCCCACTTCACCATCCTCCCACCAGACCCCAGGGGAGCCGCGCTGCGGAAGCCCAGGACTGGTGCTGGAGGACAGGGAGCAGTGTGGGCCCCTGGGCTCTCAGCAGGTGGCATTCTTGCACTTACTGTGCAGGACAGGTATCCAAGCTCTCATGTCCCTGTCAGACGTCTGTGGCCCTTACATGACATCACCTCTCACTCACTGAGCCCATAGGTTTCAACCTCTGTCCTGTGCCTGCAGTTTCCCCACAGATATGCCTAATCTTTCCAGATGCCTCATTCATCCTCCGGAGCTGGTCTGGTCCCAGGACAGGGAAGTGGTTGAAACCCATGGGCTTGAAAATTCCTGAGAAATCGTTGCATATCCATCTCCCCCAAAATATGATACAAAACTTGTTTCAGTCAAACAAAAACAGGTTCCTGGTGTTTCTGCCTTTTCTACCAGCGTTGCTCTGTCATCCAAACAAAAGAACAAAGCTCCAGAATGCTTGAGTGCTCTATGGTCCAGTTCTGGAGCCAGCCTGGCCAGCGTGTATGGACGTGTCTATGGGGCCATGGGCACGTCCATATACAGGTCCCCCTGTGCTCACACCTGAGAAGGTCCTTAAAGTGAGTTCCCACAGTAATCCTGGGTACAGCCCGTCTATGACTCTGCCTTGCTTTGCTTATGTTTAGCTGTTTCTCTGCTACCTTTCAAGCAGATTTCTTTACTACACTGCACTGGATTGCTATATTTTTAACCAGAAATAAACTAAAGATTAGAGCATGTTCCAGTTAAATTCAGTTTTATTTTTTTCTGTTACACATTCAAGCCCTGTTCCTTCTCACAGTTTGGTTTAGGTTGGGGTCTTTTGGGGGGCGTGGGGACATGGGAGGGAGGATCCGTAGGAAATACATTTCTGATAATGTTGCTTTCTAAAGGGATATTACATCTTTTTGTACATCTTATTTTCCGTTCCTCTTTTTTAATATCAAGTGGTTGCTGCAGACCTGAAGTGAACCAAATAAAGATGCCTGCTCCTTGCAGCTCTAAGAATCACCCATGCTGGGATATGTGTTTTATAATTCTGTTTGCAACTCTTTGTAAAGATTACAGACTTTTTTTGTACATTCCAATAACTGCATGACAAAAACAGTACCTACAAATGCAGGTTACATATTTACATACAAACACCATGAAGTTGTGTTAGATGCATAAAAGCAACAGCACAGAAGAACATCATTCAACAGAAGCAGTAGTGGTTTCATGACTAGGTGTCTCCATCACTAGTCCAGCTGCCAATCACACACGTGAAAACCAAATCAACACCCCTCAGCACCCGCAGAGGGCGGTGCCAATTTCCCTGCACTCCCAGTGAATTCCATCTTGACCAAAACATACTGGGTCTGAGACTCCGGAAAGCTCCTTTTTAATTGTTCCAAACAGTGTGATTAGAGACCAGGCTGCCTCACAGCATCCCTGCACACAAGCCGAATGCTTTCGCTCAGCCCAACTTGCTTTTCCTACCTGCCCAGAGCTTCAGGTTTGCCCAGCAGGTGCACCAGTCACCTCACTCCAGGGCCAGGTCTGCTGACATGCTTCTCTTATGCACGTTCCTGGTGCATGTAAGTGTGCTGAGCTTGACAAGGACATGTGGGACTGTGGGGAGAAACAGACGTGTCACGGCTGGCCCCAGTGGTGCAGAGCACTGACAAGTTTTAATCAATCTGAGAGCAACCTCATGAGAGTCATTCCTCCCCTGACATGCTCTGGATGTGAAAACCAGAGGCAGAGAAATTGAGATACCCGAGAAACTGGGCTGAGGCCAGGGGGATGAGGGGTCACCACCCCATGCCCACCTCTCCTCACCACCCAAGGCTAGGCACCTGCACTCTCACCTTACCCTGAAAGAGCCGGAAAGGACACTGCCCTCTAAGGTCACCAGGTGACATGTCGGCCGGTGCTTCACTGGTTCCACTTACTACAAATGTGAGGAGCCTTGTACACCAAATTTACTTGTGCTTTTAAGTCTGCTTAGTGCCTGTACAGTGCCTGGATAATTTCAGGCCCCTGAAAAACCCTCATCCATCCTTTTGAATCCTAAAATTTGCAATCATTAGCACAGAGATTCCCAAAGACAGAGATGAGGTAGGTAGTACATAAGCCAAAATAACTGACAAGGAAGGTGATGTTGATATAGAAGAATTCAATGCATCCACAAAAATGCAATGCCCATTGCCAAAATCATTCTAAGACACTCTGACTGGCTTTCCTAAGAAGCCTACAAGCACATGTACCAACCAATACACTCAGGTCTTTGCTGAAATGCCATGGTGTGGGGTGTGAGTAAACACATACATGGTAGGATGACAGGCTCTTTCCGACATGCACTAAGCCCAAGTTAAGTATGAGGTCTCGCAGTCCACAGACTCCCCTCAGGGCCTGTCTGGCGCCCGGGGCGCACAACTGGAGGAGCCACCTGATGTCCCAGCCTGGTCATGAAAGCGCTCCCGTTCCCTTTCAAAAGGTTCCAGTTTGGACCATAAGTTACATGTTCACCCCACTTACAGACCAAAGGGCATTAATGAGAGCCCAGTGGAGGTATTCAGATCCCACAAGTCCAAGACACTAAGGACTTGTTAAAGGAGATGAATATTTGGGGACGTGAATGAAATAGTTTTCTGGTTTTTGCAATTTTTTTTAGTTTGGGTTTTTGATTATCCTTTAAAGACACCCAAGCATCTAGAATCACCACTAGTATTCTCTCTCTGGGCAGGGTTTTCCTGGACCCAAGGGTGGGGGGAGAGCCCTAAGAGGCCCTGTAGGTGCTCCCAGAGATGAGCATGGTGGCCTCCTCCGGGGGAAGTTGCTTATTTCATCTTCACGTGCACAATAAGACACTTTTCAACACTAAGGGTGGAAGGAGCAACCTCTTTTCTACAGTAAGCTCAGTTTCTTTAACTCTTATAGGTCTTGTCTTCCAATTTTTCTTGACTTTGGTCTCAGAAACTTAACATAAAGGCCTAGATTTTAAGACATCTATTTCCATAGCTGAATGTACTGCCTGACCCTCACAATCAACGGACAGTACTGAGCTGACAAGACCTCGCTTCATGATGCTGAGCAAACACCAGGGTCATTTTTAGTCTTGCCTCGGCCTAGGATTCGCTCCCAGTCAATTCGGAATAGAAGTGACGTGACAGGATCAAGAACCCAGAGGAGAGAGGAATGAGGGTGAGGCTCCAACTGTCCGTAAACTTCAGGTATCTGGTTAGTTTTGTTCTCCAGCCAGGGCTGGCCACAGGTCAGGTGAGACTGTCAGTAAGCAAAAACAAAAAATGACCTGTCCCAAATGCCCGGAAGTATCCCTAACTCAGCCTTAAAAGAAGTGCAGCTGCCTTATTTATACAGTGTATCCATATGCCTGGACAATGTAAACAGAGAATATTCAGAATGTCTGAAAGCTATGGAAACACAAGGGTCGCACCAACACGTGAGGGACAACCCGTACTGAGGAGCCAGGGGAGGAGGTGCGCGGCACCTAGCGAATGCAGAGGGAGACAGCGCGGCGTGCCGCCCAGGACAGGTGAATACCCGAGGGAGACAGAAGCAATGCTCTGGAATATGGCTAAATGTTCTCCAAACTCAGAGAACACGCACTGTTTTGGGAGTTTGCTTCCGCATGAAACCCCACATGGAAGTGCCTGAGACAGAAATGTGCAAACATGTTTCTAAGAGAAGCAGGCAGCCACCAGGGGCAGAGCAAAGTGTGGACGTGAGCTTGCCACAGGCAAGTCAGGGGCAGTGAGCCAGGTCCAGGGTTTTGGGGGATGGCGAGCAGGGCAGGGTGAGAGCCGCAGCCCTCACACACCTACCTCACATGGCTGCCCCACCACACCCCGCTGCTTGAGACAGACACGCAGCTCACTGTGGGCCAGGGCTATGGGTTCAGGGCCCACACTTCCCTTGCCTGTTGTCACATCTGTGCACACCCTCTCCTGCTGCCCTTCCCATCTTATCTGTGCCACACAGGGACATAGGTCTCCAGCTGTGCTGCCACTGCTTGGTGATGTGGTGACAGCAGCAATCCAAGCCCATGAAGGCAGAAGGCCCCAAGGAATGGCGGAGGCTGGTCTTGGGTGGACCCCTGCCCCCTCCACCCTGCTGGCAATACCAGCCTTGGTAATTCATCCACACCTGCTAGGTAAGAGAAGCACCAGAGCTGCTTCCTTACAGGTCAGTGCTTGACATACTCAGTGCAGGCGTGATTAACTAGAACTGTTGAGATTAAAGTTCCAGTCCCTTAAGATTAGAGCACTCATATTGCAAGAACACTTACACAGCCAAGAATTTCTCTTTTTCTCTAAATGTTATTAATTCCAAAGGGGCAGACACACTATGCACCCACTGACCTTCCATGAGTGACGTCTACACCATAGCATTATATGAGCCTGTGAGAGGCAGGAAGTGAGTCAGGAGGAGGGCTGCCTCACGTGGGCCTCCCAAACAAAGGAACAGGTCAGGAACAAGACAGTGTGATGCTCAGGAGGAAGGAGTCAGGCCCGAGGGCCAGCACTGTGTGTGCTCCCTCCAGGCTACTCCGGCACCCCTCGCCCAGGGCCCAAGCTCTCCCCACTGGGCCTCTGAGTCTGCTCTTTAGCGTGGTCACTGCCACCATCAGAGCACATGGCCTGCAAGCTCACCCCCACCTTCCTTGGCCCTCACGCACACTCAGTGGCTTACACAGGAGTGCACGTGCCCGACCCCTGATCTGCCACTGCCTCCTGAACACTGAGCTAAACCTGACAATGGTCTCCAGTGGCCCCTGCTTATTTGTACCAATCACCATTTCCAAAGACATGCCACCCAGTGTAGCCTGAAATAAAACGGTGAGCAGCAGCGAAGCTCATCTTCACTCTAGACATGAAACCACTAACCATGACAGAGATGTCTTTTTGTGAATGAACTCTAACATAAATCTGTCTCAATCTGCAGTTTCTTTTTCCCATTTTTTCCCATGGTGCATGTAAACTGTTTGCTGATACTGTGCAATCATTTTGTGCATTGACAAAAGGGAATGTTGACTATGTTCTAATTTTTCTTATTAATGAAGCAGCTAAAAACATTACCTCGGCCTTTTTCTTTCAGCTGGAAAAATAGCTTGGTTACTTACAATTAAAATAAAATAATTTTCTTTAATGAATGTGTTTAAATCATACCACTACTATATATTTCACTATATGAAAACAAGGGACACTGTTGAGATAAAATAATTCCTAAAGGTTTGCTCCCTTTAATAACAAATATTGTTATTTGAAATTTGGGTAACTTGGATCATCATATTAGTGCCTTTACTGTAAGGTCCTTCTAGTGACAAAATTTCAAGATGGATAAATGCCACTTACAAAACTGAGCCTCTGTCTCACTTGGAGGATATTATTTTGAGTAGGAAAGCTCTGTGAACAAGAATCTGAAACGTGTTTCCCACCTGCCTGCACCAGCATTTCCTATGTGATTAGACAGTCCCCTGTCCACCATCTCAGGGCCCAGATTCCTTACCATAAACTGAGTGCCTGAGGCCTCCTACCCTGTCTGGTGCTCACTTCCCTCTGCCAGCTAATGGCCCAAGGTTCTCACAGTATTGTTTTTTCAAACCTGTTTTAATTTTCTTAAACTTCAACATCTATATTTCTCTTTCTTTCCCATGAGAGCTTCTCTGCCTCAGAATCCTCCCAACCCACTGTGGTCTTTCCAGGCCCAGCTCCATGGCCCCCTTCCCCACACAGAGTCCCAGTCCCAACATACAGCTCAGCATGCCAGTCTTTAGCCCTACAGCAACAGCTCGCATGGTGGCTTCTCACTGTGGTCCCACCACCTGTGGCCACCAGCTGTTCTGGTCAGTGCCTTAGCTTCCTGCTGGACACCATGGTCAGACCCCTAATGACCAAGCAGGGCCTGGACTCAGAAGGCACTGCCGAAGCTCTCTTGCACAACAGAAAAAAGGATAACCATGGTCTATATTCGGGATAAGATGAGACTGGTTTCTGGCGATCAACCATCTACACACAGATTGCTTCCTGGTTTAAGACACCTGGGAAAGCAGCAGTTATTAGGAAGTTCCTTCCGTACACATGGAACTAAGCAACAGACAGGAGGATTTCAGACTCACTGGAGCTAATGCTGATCACTTTTCCCTCATGCCAGGGAACAAGTGTCCCCTCCCTGCCATCCTCTGACATAATCAATACTTGTGTCACCTTCTCATTGCAACACACTTGGGGGCTTCTAACCAAGCGAGCTCCTAATCTCACATGGGGCAGCATCTTGAAGATGCTTTCACCGGCAGGCCTGTCCAATATCTGGTTCCTCAATGTACTTCTATTGTCACCTTAGCCACTGGCTTTCTGCTTGTACCAACTTGGTTAAAAAAAAAAAAAAAATTTAAATCAGATGTCAAATTGCAATAAAAACCACTGTCAACACCTTTTAAAAATCAACACTTTAAATGATGACTACTCCCAAGCCTAACTGATAGTTCCTTTGATATTTACTCAATTCAGCCCAATCCCAAGAAAGCCACTGCCTTTGGCCAACCCCTTCTAATTCCTCTTACTTCAGCCTGACCCAGACAGTGGCTCAGCTGCTCCTGGGAAGTAGGGAAAACGGAGAACTCATCACACTCAGAACTCCACGGAATCCTGAGGAGCTCTGGCACGGTGTTCACAGGATTGTGGCAAGTTGATGGGCACCAGTTAGAGAAAGGGGTTGAACCCACCAAGGGGGTGGAAATTAAGGGGGGGCTTACCAACAACAATCAGCCAACCGAGGGCCTTTCCTGACCTGGACATGGCCGTCTCCCAGCTGTTCCAGCTCCAGCAAGGCAGGGGTTTCATACTGACACTCATGGCCAAGGTGGCAATCGGGTGTCAACAGCATTTGGTTAGGCAAACCAGTGACTGACTGACAAGGGTTACAGGGTGTTGGCCACTGAGCTGGGGCACCTTGCGGTCCTGTGTTGAATTTCCACCTCCCTGGCTGCTGCAGACCGAAGGCACACTGTTACTGATGTTTTAATCACAGCAATTAAACAGCAGAGACAGCAACTCTCCTGGAAGCTTGTTTATTTAATCCTCGTGGGTTCTGATTAACCTCTTTACTCAAACTGCATCTTTAGCAACAGCCCCATGGACATGACAGCAAAATGAATACTTGTTTATGCAAGAAGTTTCTTCTCTGGAGGTTATTTCTCTTTCAACTTGATTAAAAATTACCTTCTTTCAAATCTCATTTAGCTACACGCTTCTCTAAGAAAAGTGGCCTCTGGTAACAGACAACTGCGTTGGAGCTGGCAAGATCTTCCAATTATTTCCTCCCAAAGTCTCAGCAAAGCCTTAGCAGCTGCACCATCAAGCCTGGTGTGCTAATGTCACAGGACTGGGCAGAAAGGCTGAGGGACCCCTGCGCTGTTGCTGTGGTGTTCACCTGGTTTTTTAGCCCTGCCCTAGAAGCTTCCAGCTAGACTCTGCCCAGAATGTCAGAAAAGGACTCAGACTGCCCCAGGACCCAAGGAAAGTACCACAAATAAGAGGGTAACGCCAGAACACCTCACCCTTCTACCCAACTCCACCCATGCCAACCAGCCAGGCGCTATGCCACCTAACACCCCCCTGGCCTCTCCCCGATGATCAGGGTTCCCATGGGCACTACAAGGCACCGCACCCATAGGGAGGCTCTGGTGGGCAGATATGGCAGGCAGGCTGCTGCAAGAGAAGAGTTTCTTATTTCTTTTTTTTAAATGTTTTTATTGATTTCAGAGAGAGGTAGGGAGAGGGAAACAGAAAGAAACATCGATAAGAATCACTGATCGGCTGCCTCCTGCATGGCCCCTACTGTGGGAATGAGCCCACAACCATGGCATGTGCCCTGATCGGGAATCGAACCATGACCTCCAGGTTCATGGGTCGATGCTCAACCACTGAGCCACACCAGCCAAGAGCTTCTTATTTCTAATCAGCCTCCAGGAGCCCATGTCCCCTCTGGGTCCCATTACAACACAAGGTTACACCCCTGGGAGCTAGTAGGGGCCAAAGTCATGAGAAGATAAAGGCAAAGTGGAAGGAGGGGCTGCTGCTGGAGCACACCGGCCCCTGTTCTTCCATTGAAGCTTGAGCCCACGCCCTGCTCTGCTGGAGGCAAGTATTCCCACTCTTTCTCTTTTTTTCGAACAGGTAATGAATGGGATGTTGGCCCCATTACTAAAAACTAAGATCCAACATTCTCATTGTTGAAGATATTTAAGATGAGAAAATACAGCAAGGAGTGATTAAAAGCCCAACTTCTGACCCCAATTATACAAGTGAAAAGTGGTCTCCTGTCACTCACATTGGAGCAGGCACCAGCCAGCATGTTAACACACCACGACTTCTGCAGTGAGGAACCCTTGCTCCCAGGCCAGGCACTACACAGCAACATGGCATGGGGACGGTGCGATAACTTCCCTTCCTCTCTGTCACTTTGCAAATGACTACCTTGAGCCCTAGGGGAGAGGCATAGAGGATGGCTCCACTACCTCCTCCCCAACAAGACTAAGGGAGCGGTCCCTGAGGTTTCAAGTACACTTGATTGCCAAGAGAGCCCCAAGAAAAGCCAGTGACAGAGAAGGAGCAGAACTGCCCAGCCAACAGCTATTTTACTTTACAGATAATAAGAACACTCATACAGGCAGTCTGAGGGCTACTCCTGACCATTTTTAAGAGTCAAAAAGCCAATCTCCAGGTTGATGATATCAATCAGAAAGCTCATCTCCTAGTTTTGCAGAAGGGGACCACACACACACACAGCCCAAATATTCCAGTTGTATCAGAACAGAAACGTGCTTTTTGTGGACACTTCATATTCAAAGTGGTACCTGCTGTGTGGGTGGCCCACCCTCTGCCTGGCCCTGCCCTTGAGAGGCCCCACCAGGACTTTGGTGCATGCAGGGACACACAGAAGACAATCTTTGCAGAGGCCTGTTCCAAGTCCAGTTTATTTTAAATCACACCGGTGACGCTGAGGGAAGATAAACCCACTCAGTTTAACTTGTGGCCCAGCCCAGCGGCTCATGATGAGTCATCAAAGAAAGCTTTTGCCCTGGCGTGGGCTACCTTCAGCACTCTCTTCTCTTGTGCTTCTGGCCCAGCATCGTCTTGGGCAAGCCTCACCCAGTACTGCTCAGTCCTAGTCAGGTAGTCTGTGAACTGCTCACCAGGCATCACCAAGGGGTGCTGTGGCTCTTTCATGGAGGAGGAGAGTAAGAAACACACTCAGTGAAGGAAGGCCTGGGTCAGGCAGCGTGGGCCACCTGCTCGTGGCCCGATGGAGCAGGTAAGTGAACACCAGGGTTTACAGAAACATACCATAAAGCCATTCTGAGCTTTATCAACGGAAGCACGACACTCCTCAAAGAGCAAGCTGTTCAAATATACTCCAGATACAAATACTTTCTAAAAACCTCAGTGTGGACAAAAGGGGCCACATGCTAACCTGACAAGCTCAGGGATCCTGCGTGGTGGCCTTGCAAACTCAGAGACCTAAAGTAACCACAAAGGATGGTCTGAAATTAAAACTTTTTAATAGTGATGTCCTAGACTAGAATCTTCCCTGACAAAAGTCAAGCTTTACCTTAACTGAGTCTATTATCTTTTGCATCTAAGATAGCATACCTTTGGAATGGCAGAACTTTCCTTTTTCTGGACCCCTCAGGGTATAACCAATGCACCAGAGCAGAAACTACAAATCCCCTCATTGTTATTTTTATCCTGTTAACTGTTGACAGTTAACTACCCTGTACCCACCCATGTAAAAGATGTATCATTTTACTTTTTATCCGAGATTTCCCAGCTTTGCTTTCTCTCACCTCCCTCATCTATCGCCAGTGCATTTCATGTAACCCACTTGCGTCTCCTCTTTTGATCGTAATGTATAAAACAAGATGCAAAACCGCCATTCTCCGGAGCATTACCTCAGGCCATTGAGATTTTGCTTCTTGGTTGTCTACAGTTTGGCTCAAATAAACTCACAAAAATTCTCTACAGGTTTGAACGTTCCTCACGGTGACACTAGGCTCACCTCTAGAGCACATCTACAAAGCAGTGACATTTACACACTCACCCCCGTGCTCACTACCGTCCTGGTCCTCGTCGTCGTCCTCGTCGTCCTCTCCACCCTCAGCACCCTCGTCGCTGTCCTCCGAGTCGGTGTCCTCCAGCCACTCCTGAGTTTCTTTAGAGCAAAACGAACATCCACAGAGCATCAGTGCACCAGGGCAGGGGAGCCGAGAGTGGGAGCTCCTGAGGATCCCACCTTCTCATGAAAGAAACTCAACCTGAATGCAAGGCTCCTGACCCCAACATGTCAAAATGTATTGTTTTCCCTGGATCTTAGCGGAGACGGTGAGAAAGAGATTAGCAAAACCAGAAAACTCATCTTGGAGTTTTCTCCAACCCCCCTTTGCTATAAGACAGGAAAGCGATCTTACACCAGCCATTTTATACCTATTCCTAAATATGTAGATTTTAACTTTATTTTTAGTCTCAGATCTTAAAGAAACTAGTGACTTAAGAAATGAGCATTGTAGCCCGGCCGGGCGTGGCTCAGTGGTTGAGCATCGACCTAGGATCCAGGAGATCGGGGTTCGATTCCTGGTCAGGGCACATGCCCGGCTTGCGAGCTAGGCAGCCGATCAATGACTCTCATCATTGATGTTTCTATCTCTCTCCCCCTTCCTTTCCTCTCTCTGAAATCAATAAAGATACGTTTT